ATATTGTCCGAGATCACAGTTCTGTACTGCTAAGATGTTAATTAAATTACCTACTCACATAGGTTTCGCGGAAAACCAGCTATACTAGTCAGTTTTATCTTTCACTAACTTACCACAATTCATCGGATATCTATACAACGATAACCCGTTCGGGCTTTTTTAACCCTGACCATGGTAAGATCACTAGCCTTCGGGTCTAATTTTAGATACTTATCATTTTTTCATAATTGGTTTATCTTAGATAATTTAATATCTCAAAAAATACTAAAAATTATACACTTGCATCTAAAATTAACTTGCTGACCCATTATGCAAAAGGTACACTCTTATTTTTAATTTTAATTTTTACTCGAGCTGCTTATAAAATTACTATTTCAAATTTTACCTCACGGTACTATTCACTATCGCTTATATATCATATTTAGCCTTAGAGGAAGGTTCCCCTATATTCAAACAGATATTATCCATTTTACTTAAATTAGGCTATTATTATTTAGTATTTACTTAAATAACAATCTCGTTTGATTTATTTTCCTAAAGTTACTAAGATATTTCAATTCACTTTGTTTTATTATTTAGGATTTCTCTTAGAATCAAGATAACATCTATGTGATTCTTTAATATATAGCTAATTATCCATAATAATTTCTTTTTATACATAATTAAAAAAGAACAAAATTTTCATAGCTAGACTATAGCTAAATTGTTGTAAATATATTTATTATTATTATCAGGTTATTATGATTCGAACATAACAATTCCTCAACCCAAATGAGACGCCTAACCAACCTGGCTCTAACCTGTTTTTTCAGAGAGTATATGATTCGAACATATGAAAGTTTTTACCTTTAACTAGACTCAAGCTAGTCGCCTTAAACCACTCAGCCAACTCTCTATGATTCTTCAGTGGATCGAACACTGAACATATCCTTATCAAGAATACACTTTACCAGTTAAGTTAAAGAACCAAAAGACATATTTAATTAAAAAAATATATACAAGAGCACTCAGACTTGAACTAAGAAATGCAAATTTGAAGTTTGCGGTTTTACCATTAAACTATACTCTTAAACGGAAAAGAAGAGATTCGAACTCTTAGATATATACATATATCGTTTAGCAAACGACCCGCCCTTCCTATGGCTACCTTTCCTTTACCGAGTTAGGTCGGCCTCGATCCGACATCTATATCTTCGACAAAGATACCCTTTACCTATTAAGTTACTAACCCTAAAAAAAGTTTTAATTACGATCAGCTGAATTCGAATCAGCGCACCTCGTTTGGTAAACGAGTAGTCTACCGCTAACTTATGATCGTTTAAATAAAAATATTAATATATATTATTAGCATAACTAAAAAAAAATATATGACTAGCTGAATTCGAATCAGCACTTATCGAGTGGAAGTCGACGATTCTACCATTAAACTATAGTCATTTTTATAAGACCTATGGGATTTGAACCCACAAGATAATGATTAAAAGTCACATGTTTTACCGTTAAACTAAGGTCTCTATAAAGATTTTTAATAAACTTTAAAAATAAAATTAATAAACGTGTATAAGATTCGAACTTATATAATTATGTCCGTAGCATAATATTTTACCATTAAATTAACACGTTGAGATTTTTTTTAGCTTATATTATTTTAATTAATAACCTCAATAATATACTGAAATATATAAAAACAATCAAACTACATCAACAAAATGTCAGTATAAAATACCAGATTCATATCCAAGATGATGATGATCAGTTAAATGATAGGCCATCAAACGTCATAATCCTACAGCTAAGAACGCTGTTCCTATTATAACATGTAATCCGTGGAAACCAGTACCAAGATAAAAACATGATCCATAAACACCATCTGATATAGTAAAAGATGAAACTGTATACTCTAAACCTTGGAAACCTGTAAATATTACAGCTAATATTATTGTAGCTATAGTACCATATAAAGCACCTTTTCTATTTCCTTGTATTAATGAATGATGAGCATAAGTTATTGTAACTCCAGAAGATAATAAAATTATAGTATTTAATAATGGTAATTCAAATGGGTTAACACCTTCAATACCCATAGGAGGTCATTGACCTCCTAATTCTATACTAGGTGATATTGAACTATGAAAAAAAGTTCAAAAAATAGCTATAAAGAAAAAAACTTCTGATATTATAAATAGACCAACTCCTAAGTTTAATCCTCTTTGCACTGCATAAGTATGATTTCCTAAATAAGTACCCTCAGAAATTATATCTCTAAATCATAAAGCCATAGAATAAACTACATTTAATACACTAAGAAATACAAAATACTGAAAAGATTCAAAACCATGCATAAATAAAACTGTAGAAGTAGTAAGTATAAATAAAGATATACTTGTATATAAAGGTCAAGGAGATGGAGATACTAAATGAAAAGGATGATGTTGAAAATTTTTTTTAGCTATATAAACCATATAATAAGAACTATATATTAAACATACAAATTAAGAAAAAAGAAAAATAATTATCTCTTCTCTGCTTTTTTTGTTATTACAATAGAACCTACCATAGCTAATAATAATATTATAGAAGCTATAATTAGTCAAATAGCATAATTTGTATACATTACATTACCTATACCACTTATATGAGTTATATCTACTAAAGAAGTATCTCATGATTTACTACTTGCATATTGTATTTGTTCATCGTATATATATTCATTAATATTTACATCTATAACATGTGAATTATCTACGTTTGTATTTAAAAAATTTAAATTACCTGGTAAAATACGAGCTATTAAAAAGTAAAACAACATAACAGTTAAGATAGCTAAAGGTGTATCATTATTAGTTTCATTAGTAAGTTCCGAAATTCTTATATTTATTAACATTAAAATAAATAAAAATAAAATAGAAACAGCTCCTACATATACTAATATGTAAGATAACCCTATAAAACCAAATCCTATTATTATTAATAAAGTAGAGATGTTTACGAATAATCCTATTAAAAATAACACCGAAATAATAGGATTTTTATTTATTATAATTGAAATACCAAATATAATAGACAATAAATAAATTATATCTAACATTTCGGGGATAAAACCATAATTAATATCTTTTAATATATTTATATTATTCATATATTTATTTTATTTTTTTGTCATAAATATATTATATATATATATTTATCTAAATAAGGTAAAAAAAAAACAATCTTCTATACATGTTTTTGTAGGAAGCAAGAGATTCGAACTCATACAAGCATATTGCTATTGAGTTTACAGCTCAACCCATTTTACCAATAATGGAACCTTCCTTTAAAAAAAAACAAATTAATGTTTTTTTAATTTTTGCAAAAAAAACAAGTTAAAGTTTTTTTTTTATTCAAATTTATTAATCCCGTGCAATTTCCATTACACGAACCATATTTCGACTTAACACCAATTAAAGTCATGCATACGAAAATTATGTTTACATATTTATACATCTAATTATCTATATTAATATATAAACAAACCAAACTTATTGCACATACTCCTTTCAGCGCCTGACGAGTGGTTAGTACCTAGCTGAGATTAGATTCACCGTGACGATGGTGATTCACGATTACTAGTAATTCCTTATTCATGCTGTCGAATTACAGACAACAATCCATATTATATCCAATTTTGGGGATTAGCTCCATTTCGCAATATAGCATCCCTTTGTAGAGGCATATGTGGCACGTCTATAGCCCACAATATTTAGGCCATGATGACTTGTCTTAATCCCTTTTATCTTTCCACTATACTGGAGAACCACTTTATATATACAAATAAAATGAGGGTTTTCGTTAATTTTAGGAGTTAACCAGATCTCACGACATTAACTAAAGACAGCCGTGCAGCGCTTGTAATAACTTAATATATTCAAATTGTGGTAAGGTTATTCGCGGATTATCGAATTAAATAACATACTTCACTACTGGTTTCAGAAACGGTCTAATGATTTCAGTTTATATGTTGCCATAGTACTCTTGAGGTGGAATGCTTACACTTTCATTTATAGACTAAATTTGTTATCTAGTCTATGACATTCATCATTTTCTGCTTGGACTACTAGGGTATCTAATCCTTCTTGCTACCCAAGCCTTCGTCCCTCAACGTCAGTTTTTACATAGAAGGACGCCTTCGCCGTTACCAGTCCCTCTGGTATCAAAGTATTTTATCACTACTCCAGAAGTTCTTCCTTCTCACATAAAACTCTAGTAAATAAGTACTCTACTCAAGTGTTATTTACCGTCTAGGTACCCTTTAAACCTAATAAAGATGACTAACACTAGTCTTCTACGTATTACCGCGACTGCTGGCACGTAATTTGGTCAAGACTTATAAATAGGAAATTGTCATTATCATTATCCTATTTAGAATTTTATACGAATTAATCGTTATTGTATTAGTTATAATACATTTACATTCTTCCAAGTTACTGGTTCAGTCGTTAGACCATTGACCAATATTCCTCACTGCTGTACTAATACGCATTGGGGTTTTTTCAGACCCAATGTGGTCGATCGACCTCTCAGTCACGACTACGAGTGTTAGCTAGAAAGAGACATTACCTCTTCTACTACTTCACCGAGATAAAGATTAACATCTTAAAGCAGAATTTTGATTTCCTTTTTTTTTATAAGAGATTTACTCTTACTTTAAGGTAGCCAAATTATCATTTACTCACCTGTACACCACTACTTTACTTAAAAAATAAATAAAGTCGTACGATTAGCATGTGTCAAGTACTTGGACAGCGTTCAATCAGAGCCATCATCAAACTCAATAATTATTTTTTTTATAATGTATAATAACATTAAGATTAGAGATAATTAATATATAAAATTAAATAGATAATATATATTATTAATAATAAGACGGTTTCTGTACTATTATGATTCTAAATAAAAACTAAATAAAGGGATACATGCTCGAAAACATACATAATTTTATTATAAGTTTTTAGTTCTACTAACCCATCATCTCTGATCTCGCTATATACACGTGTATATTTATATATTCCGAACTTTCCATTTATTGGTATAAATACTGTTATAGGGTTACACCATAGCTCTTAAGATGAATCGAACATCTATACGGATATTAACAGTATCTGCTCTACCATTGAGCTATAAGAGCTTGTCTATGCATACATAGTATTATTATTATTATTATTAAATTAAAAGAATTCTTTTATCAAATAGAATCGTAATATATCATCTGGATATAATTAGTGTAAGTCTAATCCATCTTTAATATATGAACAACTTAAAACTACAAAAACTTGAGCTTGGATGAAAGCAATAGCTAATTCTAAACCTGAAAAAGCTATTATAAATGCTAAAGGTAACAATCCTAAGAAAAAGAATAATAAACCACTAGTCATAATATTATATGTAAATCCACCTAAAATAGATAAAAGCATATGTCCTGATAATATGTTTGCAGCTAATCTTAATCCTAATGAAACATTTCTTGATAAATAAGAAATAAATTCAATTAAAACTAATAAAGGTAATAAACCTAAAGGACAACCAGAAGGTACAAATAAAGAGAAAAATTTTAATCCGTGTTTTTGGAAACCTAAAATTGTTGCACCTAAAACAACTGTAAAACTCATAGAAAAAGTTAAAACAAAATGTGATGTAGATGCAAAACTATACGGTATCATTCCTAATAAATTATTAGCTAAAATAAAAATAAATAATGAGTATATAAAAGGGAAATATACTTGTCCTTTATTTGAATTTATTTGGTTAATTACTATACCATGTACAGTAAAATATAAAGTTTCTTGGCTTAATGATCAGTTATTAGGTATTATTTTATTATTATTAGTAGCTAATAAACTATAACTTATTATTAATACAATTCCTACTGATAAATATAAACCTATATTTGTTAAAGATATATGAGTGTTATTTAATAAACTAATATTTAGAGAAAGTAAATCTCTTATTTCAAATTGGTCTAAGGGGCTTAATATGAAATTTACTTGCATTATTATAAAAATAGATACTATTTAACGTATTTAAAGATTGGATATTCCAACATATTACGTAATTATTATAATTTATTTATATAAATACGTGATATAAAAGTACGAACAAATTTAGGTAATATGAATTTAGAAAAAGTATAAACTAATACTGTTAATATTACAAAAGTAAATACAACTTGATTCACAAAAAAAAAAGGTACTAATTGAGGCATATTTTTCTTTACATTTATCAATATAGATATTTATAAATATTACATATCTTTATTACAAAGTAAAAACATATAATTTATATATATAAATTTTTATATTTTTCTTATCTAGGATTCGAACTTAGATCAAAATATTAGAAGTATTCTGCTCTACCATTGAGCTAATAAGAACTAAAAATAAATTAAAACAAATTAATTTAATCTTAATTAATATTATATATTAATGAAGAAACTGAATAATGTAAACCATCTAAAATAGGAGAAGGGTAAATACCGAATAATACTGTTAATATTACGAAAATTAATAACATTATAAATTCTCTTTTATTAACATCTCTTAAATTTTCTTTAAAGAAAATAGAATAAGAACCACCAAATGCTATTCTATTATACATAAATATAGTATAAGCAGCAGAGAATACTATAGAAGAACTAGCTAATATACCTAAAATAGGCATTCTTTCAAATACACCATATATTGACATAAATTCCCCTAAAAAATTCAAAGTTAATGGAACTCCACAGTTACCTAAAGATAAAATAAAAAATAATATACTAAATATAGGCATAATTTGTCCCATACCTCTATAATAAGTTATTAATCTAGTAGATGATCTATCATATAAAATTCCTCCTGCACATATAAATAAACCAGAAGATACAAAACCATGAGCTAAACCTAAAGTTATAGCACCTTCAATACCTTGTATAGTATTACTAAATGCACCTAAAAGATACACAGCTGCATGAGATACAGATGAATAAGCTATAAGTTCTTTAATATCTATAGTTCTTAAAGTACTAAAACTAGCATATATAATAGTTACTACACCTATTACATAAACTATAAATGTATAATTTAAAGAAGCCTTAGGTAATAAAGGTAAAATAAGTCTAAATATTCCATATAAACTCAATTTTAAAACTATACCAGCTAAAATAATACTACCTGATAAAGGTGATTCTACATGAGCTTTTAATAATCAAGTATTTAAAAAAATTGTAGGAGTTTTTACAGCAAAAGATAAAAATATACCATAAAATAAAAATAATTGTGTTGTATACTCAAAATTAGTTTTAAATAAGGCATCGAAATCTGTAGTACCCATTATAGAAGCCATTGTTATAATAGACAATAACATAAATAACGATCCAAATAAAGTATATAAAAATAAGTAAAAACTGGCTCTTACTTTGTTATTTGACCCAAATAAACCAATTAATAAAAATAAAGGGGTATATACTCTCAAAAAAATATAAAATAATAATATGTCTAAACCAGGAAACAGCTATA